TGAACCCTGGCTCACTCACTTTGTCTCCACATAACATTAAATGACTAAATATGTTAAAGGCCTCCAGTCAGTTGGGCTCTTTCACCTTATACAGCAATGCAAGAGCTTTCAATCTGAATAGACGGGATATAAGAACCTTGTTATCGGCCAGAGGAAAGAAACTAATTTGACATTATCACATACATTGAAGCCATTTAAAAGACTCATTTGCATAAAAACATTTACAGAAATAAAGCTTTTATTACTAGAATTACCACCAGTTGATGGATTGCCGTAAACATGTAATGCACTCAGTTGATGCTTTTAGGAAGAGTATAAGTTACAAGGGCAGCAGAATGTGGAAAACGTCCAATAAGAGATTGTCAAATATCGCAAACAGCCATCAGTAAACAGTACAAGGGTTAGACAACCCACATCATCCTGGTTTAATTGAATTGACTTCGTTCTTGTAAGTAAATCGATCTGACTTTGATTTGTTCTTTCTGCTTTCTCATTTAAACAAATGCTATTTTCTGTGTTGCATTGCAGCGTAGTGCATGTCTCTAGGGTAATAATGTTTTTGGTCAAACACAGTGTTTGTTGGCTTTAACTTTTAAACATACAATTGTTCCCTAATTAGCTGGATGCTAATTAATTTATGCTCCCCTGTTTGAAGTACAATATAGCAATACTTTGAAAGCAACTGCATTCATTCTTTGCATAAATTTGTAGCATTTGCCGCTGAGTTCAAAAGAAACAGGACTGGGTTTAGAAAAGCACACATGCATTTAAATAATGCGCCCCATTTTTCGTCTCTGTTTGTTTTTAGTGGGAATATTAATGAATTAACATTTTAAACAATCCATCATTATTGTTGTGCCGCCACTTATTTTTAACTCAATTATATTTTAATAGATCATTTTTCCTAATGTGCGCAGTATGTTCTCCCCACTTTGTTCACTACACAACAAAAGATTAATTACAAATAAGAGGCATGATCAAAAACATGATAATCAAATTGCAACAATAAGTTGGGAATTGCAATTCTAATGCAATACAATAGGGTATGTGTTGCAAATTAACCACCCACTGTCTGTTACTGTATGTGTGTGCTTGTGTGCATGTGTGTTTATGTGTGTGTGAAAAGAGTATATGACACAACAATATGATGTGATAAACTCAATTTTCAATACTTTACATGAGTTTTTGAAAAAGAAATTGTTTCTAAACATTATAGGTTGTGATTGTAATTGCACTAATTTGAAAAATTTAAAGTCATGTTTTACCTTACAGTGGTCTCACTCTCTTGTTGTCAATCAGTTTATTAACCCAAGTAAAAACATTCACACTCTTATAATAACAGCACTCCATTAGTAGCACTGCTACTGACCTTGTTGGTGCCTCTGCACCAGTGATAGCGGTGGCTGGAGATATTATGTTCTTGCGTTATCCGTCCGTTCATCTGTCCCATTCTCATGAATGCGATACCTCAAGAATGCCTTAAAGAGAATTTCTTCAAATTTGGCACAAACGTCCGCTTGGACTCAAGGATGAAGTGATTTGATTTTGGTTGTAAAAGGTCTAAAGTCTGGGTCACCCTGACCTTTTATGTGTCATATTCTTGTGAATGGGATATCTCAAGAACACCTTGAGAGAATTTCTTCAAATTTAGCACAAACATCCACTTTGAGTCAAGGATGAACTGATTAGAATTTGGTGGTCAAACGTCAGTGAGCTTGCGTCTGTTTCATTTCATGATGGCGATACCTCAAGAGGGCCTTGAGAGAATTTCCTTAAGTTTGACACAAACATCCCCATAGACTCAGGAATGAACCGATTAGAATTTGGTGTTTGAAGATCAAAGGTCAAGGTCAGTGTTACATCACAAAATACATTTTTGGCCATAACTCAGGAATTCATATGCTAATAATCATGACATTTTATATCCAAAATGTCAAAGGTCATCTTCACTGTGACGTCATATAATGCCCTTTTCTGGCCATTATTCAGCATCATATCTCAGGAACAGAAGGAGAGACATTTGGTCAGATACTAAATTGGTGACACTAATCTTTGGTGTTCACTTTGAAACTGTGCCGATTGCTTAGATCCTCTGTGCTGCCGGGCGGATGATGTGTGTGAAGCATTCATGTTTTTACAGATATGGAAGTAAACTGTAACTGTGACTTGACTGGTTCGCAGAGGCATATAGCTGCAAAGTGGAAATTCTATTTCATGACTTTAAACTCTATTATATTGCATACAAAAATTAAAAAAGAGCCAGCTTTCTTGACAGTAGCTAGGATTTTATTTAAAAGACGGAATGCATTAAGTACTTTTTTCTACTTTGTACTTTGTCGTTGTTTGTTTAATATCATGGAGGCCTGCTCTCTAAAATCAAAACGATGTGAAACATTGAGTCATAATTTGGGATATAGTTCACCAGTTACATCACAGTTATTATATGAGGTCTTTGGACAAGGTTATGATATTGCTGATATCACAAAGTCTGTCACGATACGATTTTTATTCAGCTCAATTTAGGGGCATTTGATCAATATGTGACAATATCATATGCCAGCGTATCACCATCAATTGTAAAAAATTGTGAGTGGGGTATACTGATGTATTTTATGTCATAGAACAAAACGTGAAAATCTGAAGACTGTGTTAGGCCTTATTTCAGGCGTCTAGCAAAAACCCATTCAGAAAACCCACTGGCTTCGAGACAAGGAAACCAGGAGTGCTAAAATGCTAACTCATTTTTTAGGTTTTAGGACCCCTTCATCCGCCACTCTCCACTCTTGAATCAATGCCTCGATCCAGAACGATGGATCCTGGTTAAAAGGTCCATTAAGTAGGAACTAGTGGGATGTGGTGATAAAAGTCAAACCTTAACATGTTTTGAAAGTGTCCAGGACAGTTTTCTACCTTTGAAGCCCTTGATTTTTTTTTAGCTACAGTGGTCTGTAGCTGACCAACATGGCATTTTGACAGTAGAGAAATAAGCTAACTGTTGGAAATTGGAACAAAGACGATAGCATGCCAGTAAAAAGATAATATGTGTCCTTGCCCGCACACTTGAAAAATACCAGAGCTTCATTATTGACAGGTTTAGCTAGAGAAAAACTAGAGTTTGTAGCCTATGCAGGCAAAACCTTTTGTTACATGGTGATTGTTCTTTTGTAGTGCCATTATTGTTCATGAAAATTTGGATGTGTGAAATGTTGTGTGACTTCCTGAGAATGAATCAGAAGATAAGTTTGAACAGCCAGAAATCTCAGTTTTCAGTTTGTGCGCTTCCTGGTATTGGTAAACAACCTTGTCAATTCCATCATGGTCATATTGTGCTGTAGAGCAGAAAAAATAATCATATTCTACACTGTATGAGGTTGTATTCAGCGTTACATGCAATTCAAAATAAAAAGTGTAGAGATAAAATCGCAGGTCTCAGCTTCAGATCCCTTGTTATGCCTGTTGTCTTCCGCATGTCAGAGACCAGCGGAGTTGTCAGTTTAAAGAGGATAGATGTCCTGAGATGTCACCTGACAGCCCGACAGACAGGGCAATTCAGTCCCTGGAGGACAGCAGAGCAGCCAGTAGGAGGTGAATGGGCAGTAGCTTGGGCTAGAGGTCGTCGCCATCGCCATCGCCGGCCTGTCACTCCGAATGGGCCTCCAAATCATGTTGTCAATGGTGATGCATAGAGATCTCCCTCTGGCAAAAATTGGACACTCCAAACTCGTCCTGATTGATGCATTGACCAGGTTGTGCCTGCTGTCCTCAGGATGTGTCCTTACCTTTGTTTAAAGATGTGGCAACACAGACACAATCTGAGCCGTGAAAGGGGAGAGATGTACTTTTAAAAGTTATTTTTGTGTGTGTGTGTCTGTATAAGTTAGACACACTGCGGATGTACTATTGGCTTGTCAAAGAATCTACTGTATCTATTAGCCTTGAAATTTATAGGATTTTACCTGCCTTTTCATTTTTCTAGGTACATCTTTTGTGGCACAGTTCACTCTGAGAATGTTGTTCTCACTGTTTCCATTGAGGCGACAGTATTACATTATGGCTCAAATGCGAATGCACAGCTTGTACATTCAATGGATGCCACAATGGATTGGAATGAAAAATAGCTGTTTTTCTGTGACCAAAAGTGCAGCCTTTATGCATCCAAGGGCATGGCATTCTTGGGCCATGGGTACTAGCCATGGAGTTTTGTGAACATGAAATATCTTCTTTTATGTATCATTTTTTTCATTATGCTCCCTCTGTCTCTTTCTTCCTCCGCTTTCCTTCAATGGTTTTCTCTTGATAGTCTCGTCTGGCCTGAGTTGCTCTCTTTATGTGCTTGTACGTGTGTGTGTGTGTGTGTATGTGTGTGCCTTTAATATGTGTTCATACCGTCTTTGTTTCCTCAAAATTTATGGCTATCTGTGTCTGTTACAAATGTTTATGAATGCATGGACTTTGTGTGTATGTATAAATACACGTGCAGGCTTCAACTGTGTGTTATTTTTGTGTTTGTTGGGACTCAATCATATATGTTTGTGTGTATGTGTATGTGTCTGTCTAAGTACACAGACTGAACACAGGCACTAAAGATTTTCTATTTCGATAAAGCTATGTGGAACCTTGGGTTTGAGCCTTTGATGGCTCAGTGGGGGCTGGAATGAGGAGCTCGAGTATTGTTGACGAAACAAATGCAAGCTGAGCCTTGCGGAGGTGGCCCAGTTTGGACTCTTTCAAGTCCTGCGTCTTCTCTCGCTACTTTTCAACCACAGCCTACTTCAGCTCAGTGTATCCAGGAAAGAATCAGCCCAACTCGTACACGTCGCTTCACTTATTACTTTTGATCTTTTGTTTTCTATGAGAGGATAAGAGAGAAAACAACTGTAACAACTTTGTCCTCCTTCTTTTCTCTCTCTCTCTCTCTCTCTCTCTCTCTCTCTCCCCCTCTCTCTCTTTCTTTCTCCCGCTCTCTCTTTCTCTCGCTCTTTCTTTGTCTGTGTTTGCAGGGCCTGTTCATCTTCCTGATATATGGGGTGTACAACACAGAGGTAAGTCTGCATTGTGTCTCAAGGCTGTCGGAGTGAATGAGAGAAATGACAAGTTTCTGATGGGCTCCTTGCTTAAAAGCTGTGTGGGTGGGGTGTGACAGCGCGAGTGTGTGTGTGTGTGCGAACGTGCGTCTGTGGATGGGAGGAGGGATGGGAAGGAGGGGAGGGGACATCGTTTCCACGCGAGCGTCCCACTGCCCTTCATGCTTGGACTAACTTATATGCATCCGAGTCCGACCATTAAACACTGACACGCCGTGGTTCTCAGCCACTCATTCCTCACCCACATTGGCTAATATTTCACTGCCTCTTTAAGTTTTTAAACTCACGGCCCTCCATTTAGCATCCTGACAAAGCCGCTGGCCAGGGCTTCACGGGGGCCCCCCGAGCAGTACCCGTAATAGGACAAAAAAAGAAAAACAATATGCAACCAACAATATGCAGTGAAGGAGGACATATTGTATTGAGATGCTGCTTTATTACCATTTAGATATGCCGTAGCTGTGCAGGGGTGGAGGGAGGCTGAGTGGCAAGAGACGGCGATACGATTTAATGGATGAGACTCGAGTCATGAAAATCACTCTTGGTCAAATGCGGCTCTTAGTCTATGTAAATAGGGTTAACTTTAGATGTGCATAGGCGATGTTGCATTTGAGCCTTCTAAAAATACGGGACTTTTTTCTCTAAACTTGTGGTCTATTTCTCATTTTTAGACACTTCCCCTTCCAAACTTTAAGGAGAAATCGCCTTCTAGCACAGTTTACAATTCAACACACAGATATTTTACGCAGTTTTCTCTTAAATGACTGAGAAAGCATCAAATAGCATAGCAGAAGTCTGTTTTCAAGCTAGTATTTGAGGTAAAGATACATGTTCAGTTGTCCAGATTGCATGCAAGATGTTAAATACAGAAAGATTGTTAACATAAATATATAGAAAAAATAAATTTTGTATGCTACAGTTCATCTAAAAAGCTGTCTCCTCTGTGGGTGGAATGAACCATGCTTGATGAGTCTTCAGTTTAGGTGAATACAAACATGCCTCATCTTTTCATTTGTCTCTTGTTGCTTTGACTGAATGCACAAGGTCATCACCACTGTATACAAGCAGCTTTTTTTTTTTTTTTTGAAGAGCTAGGTTATATGTTACCCAGCTCTTCAAAGATAACAGTAAGTATTACATTAGTCCCCTCTCTTCTCCTGTATATTTCTTATCTGTTTTTTTGTTCCCCTCCAGACTTCTTTTATTTTAACTTTCTGTCAACGTCACCTTTGTTCGTCTAACCGTCGAAGAAAACATGTAACATTTGCATTTATGGGCCTTTGTTATGTCCCGTTTTTTCCTTCCCTTTCTTCATCCATGTCTTCTCCAGAGCATGAAGAGCTGTCCCTGAGTCAGAGGCGATGCTTTGACAATGCAGAGCCAGGGAGGGCTGACCCCTCGCACCGTGAAATAAATCAACACAGCATTCTTGCTTAAGTGGCTTTTTTAGTGCTTGGGAATTCATTTTCTTACACTCAAGTTGCCCTTGACCCTGGGAGCAGCTCATGTACATGTTCCGGTTTTCAAAGGGACCACATTTCTTTGTTAACGTTCGGAGAAAAATAAATATATCAGTAATCTTGCCATTACTCACATATTAATTTGTGTGAAACTTTTTATGCTGCTGTGTTGGCCTGGACTGCCTCGTAAAAGAGATTTTAAATCTCAGTGGGAATGTTCCTGGCAAAATAAAGGTTAAATGAAGTAAATACATTCATAAAACAATCACATCTTTCTTTTTTCCTTTGAACCCTCACCACCTTTACAAGGGAGCTCCTTTTGTTCTCCCTTAACCTGCCTGTCTTTTGTTTCATATCTTTAACTTGAGACACAGAGCACCGCTGGCTTCAGGTTTCACCCCTCCTGACACCTGAAATATTTGCTTAATAGAAAAATTCCAGAAACACTGAATGGAAATGATCAAACACATTTTTTTTGTTTCTTCCTTGTAATCAGAGTGGCAGGGAGAGGCCAATGTGAGACAGGGGGGTCCCTGCTCTGTCTGTACTCATTGAAGCTAACCTGCCTTGATGGCTGGGGATGTTAACCCGTCCTTAGATTACATTATTGCACATGAGTCTGTGGAATGGAAAAAAAACTTTGCAAAGTTGCTGTTAGTTGTTCACCTGGTAAAACAAATCAGTCTTTAACCATTGTAGCGTGAGGAAATTTTACTTTGATATGCTAAAGAAAGGTGTAGAATTAAGTAGTGCCTCAAAGTCAGAAAATGCTCCATTCACGAGGCTGGTTTCCAGGCTAAATAATTACCAACATGGCGTGGAAGACAGACTGCGTCTGCTGCTATTACACTCAAAATGCAGCGTTTTAATTGCTAATTACCTGACAATAGCTTTCCATTATTCATTGCAATTAGCTTTTCCTTGGTGGTCACCTTGTAATCCCATGCTTTGATGACCTTTTATTTCCATCAGCTCCAAGGATGTCGGCAGGTGTTGTCGGGCGTGCTGCTTTCATATGGTAATCGCTTAGCGCCCATTTACATGGGGAACCACGCTTTGCATCATTGCGAAACCTTGAGTGTGCGCAAAACCCCTTAAACACATAACGATCATCTAAAACAATGCCCTTCCCCTCATTGTCAAATGATTAATTAAGTTGTGTCATGTAATTGCCTCAGCACGCCGGCTGCTTTTGATATCAATGAAATCCCCAGGACTTACTTTCCCCATTTAATTGTGTTAAGACGGTGTCTCTCCAACATCTGCACCGTGTCGAAGGCCTTCTGCGGATCTTGTCAGAAATAATAGGAGGTGCTTTGGAAACACGATGCTGGTGCTGTTGATTCTGCCCTGTCACAAGGCTCGGGCTCTCTTCATTATGTGGCCTTTGGTATGTATGCAAAACATCCTCTGTATACACACACTGTCTCTGAGACTGTGTGTGTGTGTTCAGTGCAGTGTCATAATTTATAACACGCTGCGACTTAATGAAGCCATAAGCCATAATGCATATTCACTAACGTGGTGGGCTGGGCTGGGACGGGCTGTAGTGATGAGTGCCCATCCGCTACAAATTTACAGTGAGCGCTGACAATGTGCACGGATACGTGCATGTGCGCGCGCGCACACACACACACACACGTACAGACCTCATAAGCACCAGAGGCTTTTCATAGAAGACTTGAGCCAACTTAACTGAACTACTGACGCACTGAGTAATTCTGCTGCTCTGTATGTTTTTGCATTTGGATTATTAAACAGTAATGTCATCCTGGATCTTAGTAAAATTAATATGGAAATGTCCCAATATCAAATTAATAATAATTATTTTTCAATAAAAAAAAAATCAGCAGGCTTATTGCAGTTTATTAATAAGATAAAAAGCTGCTGCTGTGTGACAAAATATACATTTATGTATGCTCCCTTTTTTCATTTTTCTACCGGCTTTCCTTAAGAATATGTAGGAGCTATTTTATATTGAATACTAAGTTTTGCATATAATTTTTTTTTTTACCAAAGTTATGTCTTGTAGAGAAACTATACTACTAAATCACTAAAGTGATTTTTTTAATTTAAAAAATGTTTATTAGTACAGAGTATTATTCATGGACAGACTTTAATTCTGGATTTTTGTCTTGTATATTGTGATATTAATTACAGATTATTTACATAAAATGTTCATTGAAATTATTAATTGTTAGTCACAAGTCTGATCAATATGTACATGATCAGAGCGCTGAAGAAGGCCCAGCCGGTCCTGGTTGATTCACCCCTTATTCAGTGATTTATTTTTTAATTTTTTAATGTTTTTTAATCAGAGTGTGATGTCTTTTTTGTATTTATTTATTTATGTATTTATTGTATTTTTTTATTTTAAAATAGTTTGTGTGTGTGATACTGCTGACTGCACAATAAATTGCCCCTCAGGGATAAGACAGATATCCTGTATCCTGCCATAATGACTTGGTTCCATTACAAAATACAATTTACTGATTTATAGAAAAAAATGATACATAAAAAAAATGATACATACAAAACTCACCAGTTAAATATAATTAAAGCTCATCCAAATTAATGCTGGTCTCTAAGCAAACGGCCACAGTAGTGCAAAAATATTAATTGTTTGTCTAATTTTAAAATCTCCAAAGGTGTTAATTAAAACAAATAAACAAAGAAATAAATAGATAAAGTCAAGGTGTTTTAGTAAATAAGCAGGTAAATTACAAATTAGGGTTTGGGGTTAGTTAGATTACAAGTATATACTGAAACTGCATGCATGTCTACCTTGTATCTCCAAAATCTATGAAACCCTTGTCTGGTATTGTACGTGTTAAATGAATGTGTGCAGTACACTGTTTCATCTGGAGTGTAAAAATGTAATCTGTTCTGCTAGGGCGGTCCCTTCTCCTCCAATAGCTCCATTTGTTGGTCCCGGCGCTCTATACTGACAGATGATAGCTTGAAGTCGTCTCCTTAGTTTGCCGGCTCTATGTGTCACTTTCAAGTCCCATTAGCCACTGGGACATACTGGAACACCCTCTCACACGTACATGCACAAACACGCGCGCACACACACACCTTACCAACTGCTGTCAGCGCCTGCAAACAAACACTCCAAATTTGTTATTTCCCTCCCACGTTCCCCTCTCCTTTCTCCTTTTTACACTTTAGGTGCTCGCAGATGTTTGCCGTGAAAGATTTTTTGTTTTGATTCATTGTAAGTGTGTTTCATTGAGCGCTGTGTCAGATACACTTATCTCTTTCTCTCTCACTCTCCCTCTCTTCCTTTCAGGTTCGGAGCACGGTCAACAGGATCAAGGAGAGGAGAAAAGCGCTTAATTTTTCAGTATGTAATGCTCTATTTTCCTGTTAAGAAGTGTCTGTGAGCGTATGTCTTTGTGCGTGGTTATCTCTGATAACACACTGTAGCAACAGACTAAATTTTCCTTGCCAATGAAAGCTGGCCACAAAGCAACATTGTACATTTGCTCACCTCTCGCTGGTCGACAGTCCATGTTAGATGCCCTTATACATCAAACATAGACTCCCCGTAATAGCTCTCCCCCTTCCTCACTCTACCTATAGCAGCACCTTCATCCCAGCAATGTCAAGCTCAGCGGTGGGTTACAAGTTTCTAATCCAGGACAAGCCGTCCCCTGACATTAAAGTGTCAGGCCAGTATTTATACCTTGTTGGACGCTGCTGTTTGGCTGAGGCGGTGGGATGCTGCGTGTGTGTACGTGTGTGTGTGTGTGTGCTAAGGAAGATCATACTGTAGCCTACGCAAAGCACTTTAAAAGTATTTAATAGTCTCTAGCACACACAGACAGGCACATAACACACACACACACACACACGGACAATTATAGACCTTAGCGCCTTGACAAACACCCACTCTCATCATTTCAGACTGCTTTGCCCCGACTATCTCACACACACACACACACACAAATGCGTCTTGTCCCTTATGAGTGATCACATTAACTCCACTCCTCTTTGGCCGGCATCACTTTGTCCTGCCCCTCCCACTGCACCCTGACCCACACATATGCGCCCCACCCTCACGCACTTCAGGTCATTGAAGAAGGAATGAAACCATTTCTGACTGCAGATTGATTTTTAAAATATCAGGGTGCCCCTACTTCCTTTTGACCCCCCACCTCAGAGATGGACACTGTAAGGATACGACGAAATGAAATAAATAAATAGATGAATTGAAGTATGTGTGTTAGGCACATTGGTGGGGGGCCTCCCTGGGGCCCCTTGCTACCAGGTGCAGTCTGATATATTGGCTGCTCATGTTATCAGTGAAGCCCCCCCCCCCCATCCATATACCGTCATTTTTACTGCTTCCTCTCCCCTCTGGTGCTGGCAATTTTCCAATCTTGCCAGGTTCCGCTACCAGAATGCGTTTTTTAGCCATCACTGCCGCCTGACGGTTTTTAGCTAATGCTATTTTGTGCCATAAATCCTGCTTGAAATACTGTATCTACCTGTCCTTTGGTTAGATAGGAGACATTTGGCTCTAGATGACCGCACATGCCCCTATATATCCCATTGTTGTAAAACATAGGATTGGGTATCGCGCCTTGCCGGCTGAGGGATAAAGAGGCTTTGGCAGTGTTACTGCATATGGGGTCATTTGAAGACAAATGGCACTTGTCGGAGATAGAGGAGTTTATATGTTGTATTATTTGCAACGATTGAAGGGTTAACCCAGTGGGATAAGTCACTGCAACTGCAATTTAAAGATTTAAGGAGGTTATTTAAATTAAAACAAAATCATTTGAAACTTTTATTGTCTCCTTTATTCCTTGATCACCAACAGCACAAGCAGTCAATACCAAGGCTTGCTGAGGTCATCTGATCTGTTAGGTGTTCTAGCATCTGCTGGATGATCTGCAGAGCACAGGCTGATACAGCAACAGTCATGCACTGCATCTTAAGACTGCACATGGCATCAGAAAATGTGTTGCAGAGAACCCAGCGCAAAACATGAAAATCATTTAAATATTGTGGGAACAATTTAACTATATATTGCTCTTGGTGCAGTGACACGACACACGTCTGACCTTGGCGACCTCTCGTATAAATTCCACCAAACCTAATCACACGCTCTGCCCTCTTAAATTCCACACTTCTGTCAACCTCTGTAGCTCTCTTCCTCGTGTTAGCCCTCTACATGGGCGTGGGTCACACACACAGCTTTTTTAGCCTCAGGGGGTGGGGTTTTACACACACACACACACACACACACGCACACATGCACACATACACACACTTTGACCAGTGTAGACTGCCTGTTTGGTACCAAGTATCTCCTGACCCACCCTGACCTCCCTCTTGTACACACACAGCCAGATTGCTTTGTGAAATAAAGCTGTCAGTTGTAGGACCCAAATAAAAAACAACCCCACCCCCGGATACTCCACGCCCCTGACACCACTGAAATATAGATATAAATTGGAAGCGGATTAGTTTTTTTGATCTTAATTCAAGTTTTGACAACATATAGGAAGCAAGGAGTTGGTTGGGGAAAAAAAAACTGTACTGGAATTTGATTTTCAGAAGTGGACAGTAGAGAGTTGATGTTTCTTTTTGTCTCTTTCTTGCACCACAAAAATAGCTGCATGTTGTAAGGCTAGTCCAATAAAAGACTTTAAATGCCTTAAATTATGTTTAGCTGTGCATGTATTTTTCCACTTGTGTGTGTTTGTGTCATATTTACTGAAGATGGACATCAGCAACACACAAAAGCAGCCAGAATGGCAAGCCCCAAGTGTTGAATGAAGCATTCCTGCCTGATAGAAGTACAGTATGAAACATAAGAGGCCCTGGAGTCTGTTGAAGCCACCCCAGTCTGTTTGAGAGCTGTGCAAACAAATGGGTTTTCTGTGATTGCCGTTTATTTTGGTCTGGCTGGAAGATGCGTGTGCGTGTGTAAAACAAGGAGGTCTTGGAGTTAAATTTACAGAGCAGCTGCTCAGGTTTGGTCCTGGAGTTGTGGGAACAGTAGTCTACAATAGCCCATGACATTTATGTTCTTTACTAGTTGTGACTGCTTAATGGGATGTAGCAAGCAAAGCAGTTAATCCTTCTAACTCATGAGTTCGTCTGTGTACAATATTTTCCCCTATGTTCTTTTTTTAAACACAATGTTGACTTTAAACTGTGATTTTTTTGATAAATTTTCCTCAATGCAAACACGATTTGAAAGCATTTTCTATCACTCAGAAAAGTGTATCAAACAAGAATGGTTATAGAAGCGAAAGAAAAAAGTGTATCACTAATTTGCATCACCAATTACCAACTAGTAAAGAGAGCTTGATGTCTTTGTTCTTATCAATTAATGAGAAAGTTGACTGTTCCCTTAACAGATACAAAACCCCACAGTGATGTCCTGCAGCTGACACTGCCCTCTCGTTTCTTACAGAACTGCGCCAGTTCCCGACCATCCAGCTCAGTTACCAGCTCGCGTCCTGTCAGTTTCCCACTAGGAACTACCCCAAGCCAGGAGGAGGAGGTCACCCCTACCTACACTTGTAGCAACACCTCCGGCCCGGTGAAGGAGGAGAAGACCAGAGGTGAGTTGCCGCAAACCATAACGTCAAGATTGTCTTTTTGGCCCTTCATTTTCAGCCAGAGACATCATCGTTAATGTTACCAGTTACACCTGTGCTTTTCCTGCTTTTGGAAGTAATTAGAAAAAGATCGATCATTGGCCTAGAAATGTTACTCTCATTTGAAGTTGAAGGTGCAGTAACAAGGCAAAGCTAACGAAACAACAAGATGCTAATTATAGTTCTATGCAACATTATACAGAGCCCTAGTACTTGCTGAAATAAGACTCACCCTAATGTCAGCCTCACTAACTACATTTGCATGCACAAAATATTCCAGTTTATTCCAAAAAAGACAGTATTCCTAAGAAGCTGTTTACATGGCTAACATTCTATTAATATTGGAGCAGTGCATTCTCCAGTTAATGTGCCCAAACATGTTGTTTATCACATCAAAAAATGGAGAAGTGAAGCGGCACAGAGGTGATTGTGAACAAGCAAGACAGCGTTCGCAAACTGCGGTAAAAACCCCAGTTGAGACACATATCAGAATGTGCTGTATACATGTCCAAAGACGGCTCCTAAAACCCAAGTAGTACCAGCATTTTCCATGTCTTAATTGGAAAGTGGACTAAGGCCTAATTCGGAATATCCAAACGTAATATGCTGTTTACATGAACCCTATCAAGTCTGGAATATCGTCTATTCCGAATAATAGTGGAATATTAGTGTGCGTGTAAATGTAGTAATATGCTTGTCTCAGGTTTATCTCAACACTCACATGAAGATTCACATTCAGAGTCTGGCAAAATATTTGTCCACACAAATGCTGAAGCAGGGTCACGTCTTTTCACATATTCATTTGTAGCATAATGAGAATATTTAATGGCAGCCTTAGATTTTCATTTTAGTCATATCACACAAGCACTTTCTTCTGTTTTAAATACGTAATGTGAATGAATACCTCACAGGACTAATAAAAACAAGGTAATTGTATCAAAAAGACAGACACATTGGCAGATAACTATGCCCGTGGTATTCTCACACTTGAATTCTATAGTCTCAAGTTTCAGGCTAGACTTTAGCTCATGTGAATTATGGGCCAAAAATGCAGAACCAAGAAAAATTTTACTGAAAAACTTTCACAAGAATGAAATGGGTGCCATCTTGGAATGCTATATCCAGTTTTCATAATACATTAGTGCATCGGCCCTCACTGTGATAAACAAAATTCTAAATAGCTGCCACTTGAAACAAGCAGTTACGACTAGTAGACTTCTAACTTCTGAGTACAGCTGCAGGTGGGGCTTTGGTGCTTTAACTATATTACTACTACCTCCAAGTCACTTTCCTCACACACAGTTTTACGTAGTTGATCAGAGGATTTGAACCAGCTGTCTTTGGAAAATGAACATAATAGCAAGTCACAAGATTGCTTGCTAATTTGATTACCCTGCTGGCCTTGCTTCTCAAAAAGCACAACCAATTCACCATCACTTAAAAAGAACAAGGAAGGCCGAGCAGCATGTGCTACTTTTTTTTTTAATTAGAATCAAAAGATGAAATCTGAATGTATAAGAATAAGTGAAATATTTTGTGGGTTGTGTACCTTTTTTTTCTTAATGTACGCACTCCTTTGAAGAGGGGCAGCACCTGTAGCCTTGCTTTTTGAAATTTTCAGTTCAGAAGTGGTAGTTCTGCCCGTGAAGGATTTTTCATTTTCACTGTACAGTTCAGTACCTCAAATACAGCCGAGCCCTTTCACTAATTAATTCAATGGAATTAACAAGTGTTTGCAGTTCAAATGTGGCGTGTGTGTGTGTGTGTGTGTGTGTGTGTGTGTGTGTGTGTGCGTGTGCGTGTGCGTGTGCGTGTGTGTGTGTGTGTGTGTGTGTGCGCAGTATGTGGGTGGCAGACTAAAAAGGCTGTGCCTGATTCGTCCAGACCTAATGGATGACTCCCATTTGATGACTTGTGTTTCAATGACACCTTCCTCTCTTATAAAAGGGCAATATGTTTTTTCTCCTTAACTTTTTTATGTATACTCAGTTGCACTTTATTAGGTACACCATTCTCAATCATCAATATAATATCAATATACTGGCCAGTCCTACACCTAGCTAATACTAATGCAGTCCAGTACAACATCTCAGCAACAGATTATGTCTTCATTACGTTTTTAATCTTGCATTTTTGTTTCAACTCTTTCGGAGAGGTGTTAATTTAATATTTATTTTGGAGGCTTTAGTTAGTTTGTGGTGCTGTCTGTTGTATTGGCATATATAAAGATGTGTTATATTTACTCTACTTTTATTGATATAAATGGGTGGTCAAAATATTGGAAGCACCGCAGCCTCTAAAACGATCCTAAAATCAAATCAAGTTTAGCTGTGTATGCACGTGTGTTCCCCACTGGCATGTCTGCAAGGCATTACTGCGAGGCACTCCGAATCAGAGAGTAGCGGCTCGCCTGTTGAGTGAAATCAGACATCAGAAATCTCCTGTTAAACTTTAACACTAACCAGACACCCTGGCTTCAATCTAGCTGCCTGACCCATGCTGCACTCAGCAGAGTTAAGAGTCATTTGGTTGTGGAAAAAGATTGGAGACACCGGTTTCAAGGCAGGGAAGGAAAGAGGGAGAGGTCGATCCCTGGTTTCGTTGTGTAATTTAAAGCCGGTCTTAGTGTCACTCACTCGGGTGCCCTAGTTGGTTCAGCATTTAAAGCACGGGATAGATATATTTTTTAAATATGTTTATATGTAAAAGTGATAAAAACAGAGAAAAAAAAAACTAAAATAGGGGAGTTTAGTTTAGTTTATCAGGATCAGCTGTTCTTCCTGAGGTGCACAACAACTTTACATTTGTGATTAAATCAACTCACATATAAGGCTGGACTAGACTAAAACACTGACACAGACAAACAAGACAGCTCCTTTTTCGGGCTAAACTTTGCTCTAGTGTTGTCACGATACCAAAATCTTTGTTTCGGTACCAATACCAATATGAATTTCGATACTGTTCGATACTCTTCAGTACTTTTCCTAAGGAAAAGTCCTTTTGGATACAAACCTTTAGAACAATAAATAGTAGGGGTGTAACGGTACCGAAAAATCATGGTTTGGTAAGTACCTAGGTACGGACGTCACGGTTTGGTAACTCAAATGTTCCACCAAGTTTGTGTTGTCTCGTGTTGTCTCCCTTTGCGAAACAGACTTTCTCTTGTCTTTTTTCAAGTGCGACAAATGCGAATGTTGATACAGGTGTTGTCATACACACCACTTGCGCAATCTGGGCTCCAATAGGAACAAGAAAGGCGTTTGTGTGCATAAATGAGTAAAATAAATTAACTAAATTAATGAATTGAATCAATTTCAAAGTACCGGTATTTTCCAAATGCAGTATAGTACCGTTTGGAATACTCTAGTACCGCGGTACTATTTTAGTACCGGTATACTGTGCAACACTACTTTGCTCTGATTACCTGATGATGCTCCATTATTGTAATATTACAACACTTATTTACATAATAACGTGTGCATTAAAAGGAATAGTCCCCCCGAAAAACTTTTTTTTTTTTAATTACAGTGTATGACTCATATTATATAGGTCACCTTTTCAGACATGAAAATATGAATAGCATACTAACAGACAACCATCACTAATTAAATGTCCCTACACCACAAACAAAGACAGACCCCTCACATCAGAGGACACATGACACAGTCAAACATACTTTTGATATTTATTAATTAAGCTTTGACAGGTATACTTTTGTCTGTTTGATGTGATGGATAATATAAGTCTTTGTCAAAAGGCGCTGAGGAGGAGAAAAGGCTGCAGAAAATATGTCCTCACAAAACAACCCTAAAAAAGTAATAGCTAATGACCCCCTTGTTTATTTATTTAATGTAAATGAACACTCAGTATGTTTGTCTGTTAAATACCATGTGGGTCATGGTTTATGACTTGCGCAATAATGATATTCACATTTGACTTGTACATGTGCTCTGTGTTATTGCTCCTTGTTGCCGCTCTCTGCACCTCTCAGCCAGTGATTTACAGCGTTTCCTTTGCAAGTGATTTGCATGGTCCTCAACACTATTACTGTCTCTTTCATTCACTCAGCGTGCAGTAGTTAAATCAGTCCCAACATCACATTTACATGACTGAACCCCCCCCCCGGTGCAACCTGACAAATCAAACTTGGCAGCGGGAATTATGTTTTTGATGTAACACAATTGCAGAAATAATTGATTGTCAGTTGATATTATTCAGCCCATTTGCTACCCCTCCAATCTGCTCCCGACTCAATGCTACAACATGCAAATACGATCGGCTCCGTGTGATTGAGTGCTGGGAGTGGGTTGGCGGCCAAGTGCTCATACACTACATACTGATGCTATCGTATGCGTATCACCATCCAGCAGGGCACACACGGGCAAACATGCACACTCAGTTCACTGTAACTAATCATGACAAACCCAACTCACTGACTGTGTCTTACACTACATAAGACATGTATGAATATTTGTGTTCTGTGGTGCTGTGAAGAGGTGACTGACCAATTTCTCTGGAGAGCAAGTGGACAGTATAAACATATCTGATTAAATTAATCATTAAGTTGTCATGAAATAAATTAGAAAAAATAAAATTTGGCAAGCATTGCAGTACATTAAAATGTTTGCTATATTGGTTGCTTTTGATCAAATAGCATTTATATAATTTGTTAAAAAAGAAAAGAAAATCTAGCCAAACCATGTCAACACCAGAATAAGCAAAATCATGCTTTTTGGTAGCTTCACAATATTGTTGCCTTTATTTGAACTGTATGCATCACATACATGGTACGATATACCTTCTCATCATAAAGCACAAACAACAAACAGATGGGCCCCATTTTTCCAAACAATAACCACACCATCTCCTAAGTGATAGTGGTAGCTTGCATGTACAAGGTCAACCCCCTTCTTATGCCTTTTCCATCTTTCTGTTTACTCAAGTTGGTTGGCACAAATGTCCAA